GGGTACAAGCAGAGCTCATTGAGATAATCCAGTCTTTGTATGTTAAAACACATATCTCCTCAATATATGTTCCATTCTATATGCATCCGAAGAAGTGGGCTGTAGTCCACGAAAGCTTATGCTCTAATAAATTTGTTAGTCTCTAAGGTGCCACAAGTACTCCTGTTCTTCTTTTTGCGGATACAGACTAACACGGCTGTTACTCTGAAACCTGTCATTAAGTACAACAGGCTCTTCAGCTGCAATTCGGCGGCTGGTCCCTCACTCTCTCTCGGAGTTGCCGAATGCCACCAAAGAATGATCGCGGCATTTTTTTTTTTTGGGCAAAAACGCTGGAGCCAGCCCTGGTGGCAGGTGAAAGAAGCGAGGGCAGCCGACAGCCAGGCCCTCAGGGGCCGGCCAGGGGGCCAGGCGCTGGCATGGGGCTGGGCTGGGGGAGGGGATTTACCGCGATGATGATGCAGACGGGCGCCAGGAAGCTCCAGATGAATTGCTTCTCCAGCGAGAGCCAGCAGCTGTGGGGGAGGGACAGACACGGGTCAGTCACTCTCCTGCCAGCAGGGGGCACTGCAGGGTGGGGTCTGCCTCCCCCTACTGGCAGAGGTGGGGGATGGAGACTTGCCACGCCCCCTCCCCCTCCCCCCGGTGCCCGGGAGCTTCCTTGTGTTGTACAAGTGTCCCGGGTTGGGGCCCTGGCCCAAGCAGCAGGAGGGTGCCCCCCTCCCTCACACTGGCCTCACCTGCCCCATGAGGGCCCACCCCTCCCCTCCCCTGGTGGGTCCAGATGGCAGCGGCACTCCCGGCTGAGCCGCTCCTGTCCCCATGTGCTGCCTGGGCATGGTGCCATGTTCCCCTTGAGCCCCTGGCTGAGAGCACTGGGCCTGGCCCCCCCCGGGCCGGTGACTTACTGGCGCGCTGTGCCGTAGCCCTCGCTGTAGGTGGCGGCCGAGATGCCCATGATGAGGGCCGGCACGCCGTAGCCCAGCAGGAACATGTAGCGGCGCCTGAGGCCGTGGGGGGTGAAGACCTGAACCACCAGCAGGTAGAGCTCGGCGCCCTCCAGGCACATCCAGCAGAAGGCGGCCAGGAAGAAATAGTGCAGGAGCCCGGCCACCACGCCGCACACCACCTGCAGCCAACGGGACGTGGGACGTCAGGGCCGGGTTCCCGGCTCCTCCAGCCCCAGCCCCTGGGGGGTGCTGTGGGAAGCAGTGGGAGGGGGGCAGGGCTCCCCGCTACTTCAGGCCCAGACACTGCAGGGCACTGTGGGAAGCAAGGCACGACCACTGGCTGTGGGATAGCTCTTGGCTTTTCCAGCCCCAGCCTGTGCCAGCAGCGGGTGCAGTGGGGAGCAGGGCCCGAGGTTGTCTGGGGGAGAGCTTCCAGCCGGGGTTACTGTGGGGAGCAGGGCTTGAGGCTGGCTAGGGGGAGGAGCTGCCAGCAGGGGGCACTGTGGGGAGCGGGGCCCGAGGCTGGCGGGGGGGCCAGGTACCCTGTTGCCGGTGCTGGAGGTGCCGGTGAGGAAGACGGTGTAGGCGATGAAGAGCGCCAGGCAGAGGTGCAGGTGGATGGTGGTGCGGGGGCCCTTGAGGGCGCGGCAGAAGAGGAAGGTGACGATGGACAGCAGCAGGCACAGCAGCGAGATCACCAGCCCCACCTTGGTGATGACGTCCAGGGTCCAGTCCTGTGCCAGGGGTGGGGTGGGGTGAGGGGGTTAGTCAGGGCTCCCCCCCCCAAGGCAGCAGCCAGGCCGGGCTTTAGGGTACAGACGGACTAGCCTGTTGGCCTCGCTCTGCGCCAGGGCTGGGAGAGCCCCCTAGTGGCGACACCGGGCAGCCTGCGGGAACCAGTGTCTGGCTGAGTCCAGCAGCCCAGATGGATTCGATGCTGCCCAGCCTTCCCCTCCCCCCCGAGGGGCTGACCCACAGCCCCAGGGCCATGGGAAGCCGAGGGGGCTCTAGGGTCACCACCACCCAAGGGGGAATCCCTGGCACCGATCCCTGCAGGACGGGGGCACCAGAAAGTGCGAGGGGCCGGGGCTGTTCCCCGGAGCAGAGAGCAGAGCGCCCCCGCCTGGCGGGAGGAAGCCCCTGCCCAGGAGGGAGCTGCTTTTAGACCAGACGGACGCGCTTGTGGCTAAGGTGCTGCAGCTCAGGACTCCTGGGTTCTACCAGCTCTGGGAGGGGAGCAGGGGCTGGGGGTCAGAGCAGTGGGCTGGGGGTCAGGACTCCTGGGTTCAATTCCCAGCTCTGATGTCACCTCCCCGTGTCTCCTTGAGTGAGGCATTTAACCCCTCCCTGCCTCTGTGCGATGGGGATGGGGATGGGGGCTGTTCCCTGCCCTGCAATGCAATGGCGTGAGCCCCCTGCCCTGCTGCCTGGCCAGGTGGGCAGACATGTCAGTCGCTGCTACCTGGGGAGTCTCCCTGTGCTCTTGGGGGTGGGGGGGCTGCTTCTGCCCCTGATCAGATCCAGGGCCCCGCCCGCCAGTGGGGAATGGCTTTACTCCGGAGTGACTCCTGCTCCGCTGGGGAGGATTGAGGGGAAGAACAGAACCAGACCAGCCCCAGGCCCCAGCGAGGGCCGCACCTACCTCCAGCTCGTAGAAGGCCATGAGCACGGCGAAGCTGGTCAGGTGGTTGCACTGGCAGCGGGTACTGGTGGCGTTCAACTTCTGCAGGGTGCAGCCGTGGGTGGCCCAGCGCCTGCTGTCAGGCTCCCAGTAGGCGCAGAGGAGGCGCAGGTCGGTCTTGGACTCCTGGGGACAGAGAGACACTTGATGCATGGGGGAGTAGGAGGGGGTTGGGGAGCTGGCTGGGGCCGAGCTCCCCAGGCCCTGAGAGAGCAGGTTGGGGGGTATGAGGGGCTGGGCTGGGGGCACAGAGCATCAGTTTGTCCCTGGGCGGGAGGTGGATTCACCTGCTGCCCGGCGTGGGGGCTGTCACTAGAGATGGGCCCAGCTCTGCCCTCCAGCGCCCCAGGCTCTCCTCCCCCCATGCCCAGCCCAGGGGCTCACCGGCACCGGGTGGCTGAAGCGGATGCTGACAGAGAGGCCGAGTGCCTGGAGGTTCGGGTCACTGATGAAGGCCGACGCCACTGGAGACAGCACATGGTAGCTGGGCCGCCCCGGCTCCTGCGCCCACTTCCCCATCTGGCCGATCTTGTCCCACTCGGGCGCCTCCACCCGCCCAGCACCATCCAGGAAGGGGCTCATCCCCTGGCATGTCAGCAGCCCGGCCAGCGTGAAGCCTGCGAGAGACAGAGGAGATGGATGAAATTGGGGGCAGGAGGGGCCCAGGGGCAGACTGGTGCCAGGGGGTGTTGTGCTGCTGGGGGTGCTGCCCCCAATGCCCTGGCTGTGCCCATCGCTATACCCACCCCAGCACAGGGGATGACCACATACCTTCCTTTTTCTGCCCTGGGGCTCTGGCCCACTTTAATTCCATCTGCGTCTTGCTCTGCTGCAGCGTCACCGTCTCCTGGCTCTGGTTCCCAGCCTTCCTGACCGCCAGCCCCAGCTCTGCAACCACAATGCCGGCCAGGGCTCACAACAGAGACATGGAGAGGAAGCCTGTAGCTAGGCAAGGTGCTTTCCTGACTGTGTGTGGGGGAGCTCCCAGCTACTCCAGTCCCAGCCTGTCCCAGCAGGGGGCACTGTGGGGAGTGGGGCGGGAGCGTAGGCTGCGGGTGATGAAAGCCCAACTGGGGCCATGTAGCCAGATGCTGACCTGTGCCGTTGGGGGATGCGATGCTGATCGTGCTGTCAGGCAGGGTCAGGGCCAGCGTTCTCAGCTGCTTCTCAACTATGGCCATCAACTCCGTCGCGATCCGGTGTCTCCGCTCCACACTCTCGCTCTGCTGCCTGACCAGATTTATTGGCTTCTCCAGAATGTCCAAGAAGCTCTGGCCAAGCAAACGTGGAGGGTGTTGGTGTCACAGTGCCTGAGCCCCTGCTGCACCCCCCATTCCCAGATTGCTAGTCCTCCACTGCCTTCCCACAATGCCCCTGAAAGGAAAGACAAGTTCTCCTGCAATTGACATCACTGCCTGGGAGGTCAGACTAGATGATCACAATGGTCCCGTCTAGCCTAGGAACCTAGGAGAGCAGCTTGTTGGGCACAGAGCCCACTGGAGAGGCAGGCGTGGGAATTTCTGGGCAGTGCTGCTGTTTATTTATCTCCTGTTCCAGGTGCTGCATCCCTATAGATCGCCCTGAGACTAGATCCGAGTAGGAGCAGCAATTCCTCCCCCTAACGGGAACAAACCCAGCAAGGCCCCGAATTTTGTCTTGGCACCTGCAGCTTCTCTTCGGCGTTCTGAGCCTTCATCTGTTTCAGCTCCTCCAGCGCCGCCTTGCAGAGACGTCCCACCTGTGCCAGGAAGCTGCCCAGGAGGTTCTGCAGAACAAGGCCCAGGTCTGGCTCAGGAAAAGAGATCACAGAATCGCAGCCCACCTCCCCCCGTCCCGAGAGGCTCCCTCGGCTCAGAAGCCAGGCACCAGAGGGAGCGCGGGCAATGCCCCGTCTGGCCCCTAGGGGGTGCCCGGCGTTTGCAAGGGATGGTGGGGGACGGCGGTTGCAAGCTGAAGCGAGTTGCAGCAGCCTGATGCTGCCGATCCTGGAGGGTGAGAATCACCCCGGGGCAAAGGCCTAGGCCGTGGCTGGACTGCAGGGGCTCCAGGGACTGGCCACTGGCTCTTTGCCCAGGGGTGAGTTTGGCCCCAGAATCCTCATTGTGCGAGATCAGTGAAAAGCAACGTGGCACTAAAGGGGAATCGGGGTCTATCCCCCCCCCCGGGGTCTGTGCCCCACTCACCTTGGCTTCGGCAGAGTTGTCATCATCCAGCAGCCGGGGGCAGGTGAGCTCTGGGGATGGAAAGGGAGGAGGAGTGAGACGTGGGCGGTGGGGGGAAATGTGGGGTCTGGCTGGGTAGGTGCATGCACCAGAGACAGGCACACAGAGCAGGACTCATTCCCTCCAGCAGGGGCTGGCAGCAGCCTCCCCTCACTCCCCCCAGCAGAGACACACCCAGCCCATGTCAGTGATATGGGTGTAATAGATCCTCTCCCAGCAGGGGGAGCAGTGACCTCCCCAGCCCCACACATGTGCCCAGCCCCTTCTCTCCATCCTCTGCCCACAAGCCGATCTCTGTGAAAGGAACCATCCCCCCTCCCCGTACTAGGGGACTGAGCCGCAGTGGGGTGGGGCGGGGGCTGTGGAATCATCCCAGCCGTATCTCCCCTCAACCCTCTCCCCCCAGCTGTGCGTGGTTCTGGTGTGTTTGGGGGGCTGGGGGGGAGGAAGAATCCAGCAGGGAGCCCCGGGCTGGCCCCACAGTGGCCTCTAGGCACAGACTGCGCCCCCTGTTGCCATCTTCCCAGGGCTGAGAATCCAGCCGTGCAGCAGGAATACAGGCACTGCTGGGGGAGGGGGAGAGACGCCCGGCCCCTGGTAGCCCTGCTCACCCCTCCCCCCCCCCCGCGGGAGGTGAGGGCCTGGAGGCTGAGCCCTCCCCAGTCAGGGCTAAGACCCAGAGGGACCCCGTCCATGAGGGGCAGGGGGACTGGCACACCGTCCCAGACCAGTTCCCAGTTCGCTGCCCCCTCGGGCAAGACCTCTGCCTGTGTAGCCCCAGAACCGGCCCAGCCCCCTCAAGGTTCCCCCTCCATGCCCCCAGCGGCAGGACCCACCTCGGCACAGGGTCGTGTTCCGGTTGGAGGGGACGTAGCCGGCCCGGCACTCACACCAGTAGCTTCCGTAGGTGTTGATACACGTGGCGTTGGGGCCGCAGATATCTGGGGTCTTGCACTCGTCGATGTCTGAGAGGGGAAAGCGGGGGTGGGGGTGTCACACACAGCACGGCTGGGGGTGCACGGGGGCCGAATGACCATGGAGGCACCTTCCACCGATAGCAGGGGGTGTGGTCTGTCGGTCAGTCTGTCTGCTCCATCTAACCCCCCCCACCATTCTATTCTCCTTTCTTCGCTGCTATTGGCAGGGCCCCAATCCCTGTGGCAAAACCCCTCCCCCACCCCACAGATCGGGGACCCCAACCTTTTCCAGACCAGGACCCTGCGATCCGCTCCCTGCACCAGCCCTGGGAGAGCGGGGTTAAGAGGGGGCCCGATCAGCCTGTTATGCTGCAAAGGGGAAGTGACTTAGGCTGCGTGCAGGGCGCTAGCTAGAAGGAAGCTCGCCTGGGAGGGGACAGTTGGGGCTCTATACAGCCCGAGGGCTGGGCCCAGTGGTGGGGGCCTGTGGCAGGGGGGGCTAGGAAGGCACGAGTGGGGGCTAGGAGCCCGGAGGAAGGGTTTCACTAGCAGGCAGAGGAGAGAGGGGTCTGACTTTGAAAGGCTCCCCCAGAATGGGGATCACAGCGTGACCTGGCCGGACGGCCGAGACACGGGGCAGCTGCGACTCCGGGAGCTGCAATGGTGGAAGAGGAGAAGGGGGGCGCTGAACTGGAGCGAGTCACCAGAAGGGGGGCGCCACACTCAGCGTTACAGACCCCAGCCTGATGGGTCCTCTCCCCGTTTGGGATACACCCAGCACCGCCCCTCCCATGGAGCACTAGGAGAAGGGTGGGTGGGCTGTGCCCAGGGGAGTGCAGGAGACTTGGGTGATGTCCCTTTAATCTAGTTTCTTTGCTCTCTGGTGGCTCACGGGGGTCGATGGCAGAAGCCCGCAGACCCCGACATGCGGCCAGGCCCTGCACGGCTGGTAAATGGATTGTTTGGAAGCCAGCTGGATCCAGGGGATCCCCCTATTCCTAACACTGTGCAGTGAGCAGCGGCCCGACAACGTCCATTCCCGGACCCTGCTGTGACCCCCAGGCCCAGGGCCCCACGGGGCGAATCCACCGAGCCCTCGGACGGATGACGCCAGCTCGACACTCGCTGCCAATGCGGCCTGTGGAAACTGAAGCCGGAAGAGACCCGCCCAGCCTGACCCCCAGGATAGCCCCAGCCGGAGTTGCCACCCAGCGGTTCACCAATCCGGCCCCAAACGGAGGGGACTTTACTGCCCTCGCTGCCTCCTGGGGCCTTTCACCGCTGTGGAGAGTCTGATCTGACAGACGGGCCCTGCCCAGGCACAGAGAGCCCTGCCGCGATCTAGCCAAACAAACGCTGGAGGGCTGTGCAGGGCCAGTGAAAGGAAGTTTCGTGCCCTAGGCGAAACTTCCACCTTGCGCCCTCCCCCCAGCCCTGCGGCAGCTCCCCCCCGCCGCCCTGAGGCGCCCCCCGCATGGCAGCTGATTGGCGCTGCAAGTCTGGGAGGCGGGAGAAGTGGAGCGGCCCAGGAACGCTGTAAAAAATTGGGAGCACCGCTTTTTGGCGCCCCCAAATCTTGGCGCCCTAGGCAACCGCCTAGTTTGCCTTAATGGGGCCTGGGGCCGTGCACCTGCCAGGCTACCAACGTGGGTAGTGCCAGCTGCCGGGCAAGGGGGGATACACGGGGGATGTCGGGGCTCCATGGTGCAGGGGGGTCACTCACCCCGTGCAGGGAGTGGGGTTTTCTACCTAGGGACCCGGCTTGTACGTGCAGAGACGCACTCGTTCCGGCCAGCCCCTGAGGAGCCTGCAGTCCTGTCTGGGGCAATGAGAGCTGGAGAAGCAGAGCTGGGACGAAAACCCCTTGAAGTCAGTGGTGCTGCACCAATTTACACCACTGGGGCTCTGGCCCCCGCTTTGTGACCATTTCACATACAGCAGCACTGAGTTGGTGGTGACGCATGGGGGACGGGCGCATCGTCTGTCATTCCCGCGGGTTGGGGGAAGCGGTTGAGCCGCTGCGGAAATGGCCATGATTCTCCCGGAAATCCCAGCCAGGAACGAGTGCTGGAATTCGACATTTGCCTGCTTATTAACCCAACATTTCAGCCGTCCAATCAGGAAGCAGAGAAAGACCATGGGACCAAGGCAACCAATTGACAACATCAGTGTCAAGTTTTCGGAGCCAACAGTTTGCCAATAAAATCACACACATTTATCCACCCAAACAGTCGAAGGGTCGGCTGGTGAACGAGCAGGCTTGGATCAGCATGCAGAGCTGTTCTGCTGCCTCCCCCTGGCGTTCAGATCAGCAGTGGCCTATCAGTCACCATCCCTGGGGACAGATGGGTGACGATCCTTCCTGAGGACGTAGGGGCAGGGCCACAGAAGAAAGCTAAGCTCTCCCAGATATTTTTGCTTCTCACAGAAATCCTTGTGGCTAAAATCCCCTTCTCCTGGACGTCAGCAATCAAGTCAATCAGCAGGGAGAGTCAAGAGCACTCACGTGTCCTTCCCTTGGGCCGTGTTCCAGCAGCTCTGTCTCAGACTCCCCTTCTCTCTCTTTCCCGTGACAGCGTTTTGCTATTTCCCGCTACGCCCCTTCCCCTCGGTCGTTATTTGCATAAAGGCAGCACCCAGAGCGCTGCACACACACTGCCACAAAGAGCTTCTAGTCTAAATGGACAAGAGGTGGGAGAGAAAACTGAGCAGGGAATTGCCCAAGGACACCCAGCAGTAACAGAGCTGGGACTAGAACCCAAGTCTCCGTCTCACACCCAACCTCCTAGACCTGTCTCTTTCACCTTGTTTCCTTCATAGAAGGCCAAGAATGTGTCTCCACTGCCTCACCAGGCAGATTTTACCCTCTGCTCCCCCTCAGTGTCTCCTGGCTCACGCCTGGGAGTGCATCAGGGCTGGAAAAAATCCATTGTTCTTTGGCAGGAAACTCAACTTTTGCTACATTGTTAAATCTCTTGGAAGGCAATGGGCCTACGCCAGGCCTCTGAGGGGATCGTATGGGCCAGCCTCTAGCGAAGGGCACTGAGCCACGGAAGAAGGAGAGAGCAAGTTTGTCCTGCTCTAGTGGCTGGTTCCCATAAGTAGATAACAGCCTGCTACAATGACTTGTTACTGGAGTTACTCCCTTAGCTCCAGCAGCTGCGATGTGCGCTTTCAGAGAGGTAGTTCCTGGGTTTGATTCCTGCTAATGACCCAAGCTGGCTCCTTTGTGATACCAGCTCCTTCCCCAGCCTTAGCAGCTGTTTAGGTTAATGGGGTTCCAGAAACTACTGGGCTTTTTGAGTCCAAGCTCCAACACAGAGTCCTCGGCTCCGTCTCAGCCCAGTTTACTGCAAAGACCTGACCTGCCCCCACCTCAAAGCTCTGCTACGAAAGAGCATCTTGGGCTCTGATTGCAGCTGCAGGTTTGGGGGGATGTAGCAGCTTCTAATGACGTCCCCAGTGCCCTACGCTGGTGCCGCGGTGGATTTAAGCACCATGGCAAGAGACATGGCGACGTTCAGTCCCCGGGCTCAGTTTCCAATGTGTAAGACAGGCTGGGAGTCAGAACAGACACTGCCCGGGTGTGGCGCAGAGGAAGAGCGAGACCTCAGGGCAACCTGGTTAGTTTCCCTATCCAGGCATGTGGGTTAGTGTCAGAGATCCTGGGTCAGTTCAGTGGCCGTGCATTAACAGCATCGCCAACGCCAAGCAATCAATAAAAGCCCCAAACCCTGAGCCAGGCTGAAAAAAAATCACGAGATTTTTTTTTAAATCCATTTTGGCTGCGTTTTGTTTGACTCTGGTTTGGGAGCTGTCGGTCACCCCAGCGTAACATTTGTCAGTTTTTCCTCTGTCACGTGGGCTGGGTCCTAATTTTGATTTTAGCCAAAAGCAGAATCACGTGACTCTGGGAGATGGCACTTTAAGGCAACACCACACGTTAGCAACACTGCAGACAAGCCAGAAACATCATGCCTTTGCCATGACTGTTTCCAGCTCCCGTTGTACCTGTGCAGATCTTAGACGGATCCTTTTGACTCTTCCCAAATCCCTCACTGCATTTACACATGTAACTCCCTGGCATGTTGATGCAGGTCCCGTGGGGCTCACAGATTGTGGCGTTTCGCTGGCACTCAATGTCTGCAAGGAGAGAGAAAGCGCTAGGTCAGGCTGATTTAGGAGCTGTACCTTGGGCACTGGGGTGACGCTGCTGGGGGATAATCCAGGCGTCCGACATGCACCGTGCTCTGGGGAACGGGGCTGGTTAGAGCCAGGAGTTCAGTGACTGGGTCAGCGACCGGGAGCGAGTTGGCTATTGTCCGGAATGAGCCGCTCCAGCTGGGAAGGGAAAAGCAGCCCTGCCAGACACGCGCACTGTGCTGAGCGCACTGTGCTGTATGTGGACCATCCATGAGCTTCCCAGGCTCAGGGGCACTAGCAGCCTGGATTCTGTGTGCTGGGGACAGCGAGGGCCCCACCCGTCTCCCCGGCGCCTCCCTGCAAACCCAGGGGATTATTCCCAATCCAAACACCGAGGCAGGGGAGATCCTGGCCCCCACGCGCTGGGGCAGCAGTTCAGGGTCACGGCTGATCACAGCCCCGGTGAGTAGATCAGGTGCCTTTGCTGCAGCCGGCAGCAGCCTCTGGTGCAGCACCAGTAGGGTTACCATATTTCAATAGTGCAAAAAGAGGACACTCCACGGGACCCCGCCCCGCCCCAACTCCGCCCTTCCCTGCCCCCGTCCCCGCCCCAACTCCTCCCCTTCCCCACCCCAACTCCACCCCCTCCCGAGCACCCCACATTCCTCCTCCTCTGTCCCACCCCCCGGCTGCTGCGCTGGGGAAGTTGCTTCAGTCCCCGCCGCGGTGGAGAGCGGCAGGAGCCAGGAAAGTTGGAGCAAGGGGAGGAGGTGGTCCCCTTACCATGCCTCCCTATTTTCCCGGACATGTTCGGCTTTTTGGAAATTCCTCCTGGACGGGGATTTGAGGACCAAAAAGCCAGACATGTCTGGGAAAATCCGGACGCATGGTAACCCTACCTCCGACACTCACCTCTCCCTCCACTGGAGGGACTCCCCTGTCCATACCTGTCCCGGGGCCTTCCTTTAAAGGGGCATCCCCATATCAGCGGGGTCTACTTGGAAAAGATAATATTTACTCCCTTGTGTGGCTGAGCTGGGCTGTGACAATCCAACCCATCATGAGTACTGTGAGAAATGGGGCACAACACTAACCAAGGCAGTGTCATTTCAGGGACTGTATGGGCCTCGAAGTTCAAACAAACAAGCTATATAAACTCCTTTTCTTTACTGGGAAGCCAAATGGAAGTTTTTCTAGAAGGGTATTTTTAGAAATCTCAGTATAATGACAAATTTCAAGCTCAGTTAAATAACTTTTTTGTTCAATGATGCAGAGCACAATTAGTACAGAGACATGAATAGTCAGAGATCCAAGCTGGTTTTCCTGATATTGTGTAAAAATGTGTGCAACTTTGATATAGAAGGCCTTGCCAAACTAATTATTGAAGCATATGCAACCATCATCGTAGACAGTGACTTGTTTATACTGCTCTATATACTATACCAGTGTTTCTCAATCTGGAAGTCACGATTTATTGATAATTTATATGGTAAAAATGAGAAAATAAGCAATTTTTCAGTCATACTGTGCTGTGATACTTGTATTTGTATGTCTGATTTTGTAAGCAAGTAGTTTTTAAGTGAGGGGTACTCAAGACAAATCAGCCTCCTGAAGGAGGTACAGTAGTCTGGAAACATTGACAACCGCTGCTCTAATCGACCTGGATCAAGAATGTCTTTGTTTTACTTTCTATTTCTATTGTAAGGCTATTGGGGTCTCAGAAGGATTTTTTGAATCATGTTTTTAGAAATTTCATAAATGGACCACTGCACTTCCTCCAAATTCATGAGTCTGATGTTTCATTGTGTAAGACCAAAGGTCCCTGCATCTTCTAAGTATTAGAGTGAGCTGTTTTCCAGAAACCCAAAGGTGGAAGCTCATTAGA